GAGTGGAGTGAAGTAAGTATGTAGAAGAGTGAAGTGGAGCAGAGAGGAGTGGAGGAGAGTAGAGTAGAGTAGAGTGGAGTGGAGTGGAGTAGAGTGGAGTAGAGTAGAATGAAGTGGAGTAGGGAAGCGTAGAGTAGAGTGGAGCAGAGAAAAGTAGAGCAGAGCAGGGAAGCATAGAGTAGAGAAGAGTAGGGAAAAGAATCTTAGGGAAGAGAAGAGTAGGAAAAAGTAGAGTCGAGAAGAGCAGGGAAGCGTAGAGTATGTAGAGTAAAGTTGAGCAGAGTAGAGTAGAGTAGAGTGGGGAAGAGAAACTTAGGGAAGAGAAGAGTAGTAGATAGTAGAGTCGAGAAGAGTAGGGAAGCGTAGAGTATCATGGAGTAAAGTAGAGTATCCTAAAGTAGAGTATCCTAAAGTAGAGTAATAGGTTAGAGTAGAGTAGAGTAACATCGAGTAGAGTAGAGTGAAGTAAGAAAGAGTAGAGTAGAGTAGAGTTACTGTAGAGTAAAGTAAAGTTAGTAGATAAGAGTATCGTAGCATAAAGTACGATAGTCTAAGAGTGAAGATTAGAAGAGTACAGTAGAGTAGAGTAGGGAAGAGTAAAGCAAAGAAGAGTTGAGTAGCGTAGCTTAGAGTAAAGTACAGTCGAGTCGAGTAGAATCGACTAGAGTCGAGTGTAGAAGAGTGCAGTGAAGGGGAGTGGAGTAGAGCGCAAAGGAAAGGAGGGGAGTGGAGTGAAGTGGAGTATTGTAAAGTAGAGTGAGTAGATAAGAGTATCGCAGCATATAGCACAGTACAGTAAAGTACAAAAGAGTAAAGTAGAGCAAAGTAGAGTACAATACAGTATTGTAGAGTAGAGTAAAGTAGAGTAAAGAAAAGTAGAGTAGAGTAGAGTAAAGTAGTGTAGCATAGAGAAGTGTAGCATAGAGTACAGTAGAGCCGAGTCGCATCGATTCAAGTGGAGTAGAGTAGAGAAGCATGGCGTACCTTGCATGTACCTATACGCTAAAACAAACTAAAACGACACTCAAAACAGGCTCAAATTAACTCTAACAGAGGAGAGTAGTTCAGAGTAGAATGGAGTAGTCTAAGAGTAAAACAAAGTAGAGTAAAACAAAGTAGAGTAGAGTTTAGTATAGTAGTGTAGAGTAAACCAAAGTCAAGTCGAAAACAGTCGAGTAGAGTAGTGGAGTGGTGTGGAGTAGAGTTTAGTGGAACGTTGTTGAGTCGAATGGAGTGGAGTAAAGTGGAGTAGAATGGTGTGGAGTGGAGTAAGGAGGAGTGGGGGAGAGTGGAGTGGAGTAGAGTAGAGTAGAGTAGACTGGAGTGGAGTCCAATGGAGTGGAGGAGAGTGGACTGGAGCATTATGGAATGGAGTGGAGTAGTGTGTACAAAAGTGGAGAGGAGTAGAGAGGAGTGGAGGAGAGGAGAGTAGAGTAGAGTGGAGTAGAGTGGAGTAGAGTAGATTGGAGTGGAGTAGGGAAGTGTAGAGTAGAGTAAAGTGGAGCAGAGCAAAGAAGAGCAGAGTAGAGAAGAGAAGCTTAGGGAAGAGAAAAGTAGAAAAGAGTAGAGTCAAGAAGAGTAGGGAAGCGTAGAGTATTGTAGAGTAAAGTATAGTAGGGTAGAGTAGAGTATCCTAGAATAGAGTAGAGTAGGTTAGAGTAGAGTAGAGTAGGTTAGAGTAGAGTAGAGTAGGTTAGAGTAGAGTAGATTAGAGTATAGTACAGTAGAGTAGAGTGAGTAGATCAGAGTATTGTAGCATAAAGTACAGTAGAGAAGAGATGAATACAGCAGAGTAGAGTAGGGAAGAGTAAAGCAAAGTAGAGTAGAGTCACTTAGCATAGAGTAAAATAGAGTACAGTCGAGTCGAGTGGAGTCAAGTAGAGTCGAGTGTAGAGTAGCGTAGAGAAAAGTAGAGTGGAGGGGAGTGAAGTAGAGTCGAGTAGAGAAAAGTGGAGTGGAGTGGAGTAGAACCCACGTCACCGTGGGTGACGACACAAGTGGCAAGGCACAGCAGGCCGCAATAGAAGTCGGGACCAGGTGAAACGGCAAGTGGGGAAAGGAGGCAGGGAGCAAAGCATAAAGTAACACTCAAACAAGCTGGCAGGGGGGCAGGTGACACGACGACCAAGCAAATACCAACAAGGCAAGAAAGTGTGAAGGCAGGCGGCAGAACAAGGTGAGGAAAGCAGGTACTTCCAGGCAATCAGCAATGCCACACAGGAGACAAGACAAGTGGATGAGTATGGTCGAAGTAGACCGAAAGTAAACCAGGGGGCAAGTGAATAGGCAAAAAGGCAGAAAGCAGAGCAACAGGCAAAACAGAGCCCTGTCTCCATGAAACAGCATATAAATTGCGGAATGATATATAGAGAAGCTGGACCTGATTTCCAGCAGGTGAAGATCCCTTACTAATTAATTGGGGCTCTCTGTTCTTGTCAAAAAAAAAACAGAAAAAAAAAACTCTTACACCGACAGGACAAGTAACAGCCAGGTGAAAGTCAAGCCAGCAAGCGGGCAGCGGGGCGGGCATCACGGCAACCAGGCAAGTATCAACAAGAGGGGAAAAAAAAAAAAGGGAAGTGCCTCACATTGGTAAGCGGGTGGCAGGGCAAGGGAGACAAGCAGGCAGGCAAGCAACAAGACCCAGCAGTGAGTAGCAAGACAATACAAGGCAAGCAGCCGAGCAGCATGGCGACACAAGGCAAGTGGCCGAGCAGCACGGCAAAACAAGGCAGGCAGATAGGCAAGGCAAAGGAGCAGAACACGCAGCAACACAACACAATTGGATGGGCAGCAAGGCAGCAGCACAGCACTCACAAGGCAATCTATACGCATACAGCAAGGACCAAAGCAGATCATCACCTACTCACACTGTCTCACAGCATAAGTAGAACTGTACAGAGTGTATCAAAAGGCAGGAAGTCGATCTGGTGAATGTTTGTCGCCACCAGCACACAGGCATCTTGAAGACAGCAGCCCCCTATAACAGTGTTGCAGGCACTCCCAACAAAGAGGCACTGAGTATTTTTAAAGATGCTGCATTTAGACACTGAAGAGAATTATATGCGAAAAGGCCAGAATGTGTGCAAAGTAGACAACGTAAAGAAATACTCAGGTGGAGATAAAGAAAGGAAGTTGAGTGTGTGTTTTTGTCTGTCTTCCCCTTGACCTCCGGGCAGAGAGATGCGACTAGAAATCACATAGTATGTGTAACTTTACAAAGTCTGTTGTGATGAGACACTACATGGTATGTTTACATTTAAGGCTGATAATCTGCTTTATTATTCCTCCTCTATGTCCTCAAGACCTGGTACGTAAAGCAGCTGCACATCGAAAACAACAGGGCTATTTGCTGCCACACGAGGGCGGCCAGGCGCCGATGCTAGCCCCTTGGGGAAGGCAAGATTTCCAGGGATGTACAGTCGGCGCTTGCCGCCCACTTTCATGGACTGCACACCCTCGTCGAGTCCGGCTATCACTTGCCGAGCACCTAGACGGATAATGTACGGCATTCCCTTCTCCAGCGAGCTGTCGAACACTTTGCCATCTGGCAACATTGCCACATAATGTGCGGCCACTTGGAAGCCGATCGGTGGCTGGGGACCCTTGCCCGCGACAATGTCCTTAAACTGGAGTCCAGACTCCATGGTGACAGTGGGGATCCCCTCCAGGTCACGTTCACACTCCCTGTTGCACAGTCTGATGTCCTGATCGTCGGTTGGCGGCAGAGAAGCGGCCATAGCCATTCCATCAGTATGGTTCCGGTCAACGAACAGCCCCGTCCCAGATGGGCCCATCCACCCCATGGTTGCCAAAACAGCTGACAAGGACAGAAGTGACCTGCGGCTCGTTGGCTCCCCGGCTTCGTGCATTGGAGACGAAGATGCCCATGGCGATGACAATGAAGACGGCGACTGTGACTGCGAAACTGTAGCAGGAGTAGAATGACCTGCTGTCGTGACTGATTCTCTGTCACATTCCGCACCAGCATAGGGAGTGACCACACGGCCAGCGGTCGAAGGCCCTGATGCGGGCAATGGAGCTGCACTCCCTCTCCTGTGAGCTGTCCCTAGCTCTGCCCCCTTTCGCACAATGGCACTAGACGCTCCTGCTTTCCTGCCGCCGCAACTCTCACCCACATGCAATGACCTGGACCCAATGACTAGCGATCGCTCGACAGCCACCGTTGCTGCAGCGCCGCACACAGCGGGACTCACCGCCGCCATTACCACCAAATGGCGAGACAGGGCCAATGGCCACGGGGCGATTAGAGATGGCACCAATCACGATCTTCCCACCTGTTCAATTATGAGGTTGCTCGTTGCTTCATAAGTAGAGCGGCAACTAATCGCTACTCGAGCACGATAAGCATGTGAACGTGTGAACACAAAACCTGAATAGAGAACGGCAGAAAAGCGCTGATCATTCAGAGAAAAGATCGAACAGCAATAATTGTATGTAACCCAAACAGACAACAGAATCACAATCAAAGAAAACAATACGTGGAAATAAAATAAACGGAAGTACATGCAAAACAAACTCTCTCTCTCTCTCTCTCTCTCTCTCTCTCTCTCTCTCTCTCTCTCTCTCTCTCTCTCTCTCTCTCTCTCTCTCTCTCTCTCTCTCNCTCTCTCTCTCTCTCTCTCTCTCTCTCTCTCTCTCTCTCTCTCTCTCTCTCTCTCTCTCTCTCTCTCTCTCTCTCTCTCTCCGTGTGTGTGGCCAGACTTGCGAGAGCAATCGGTTCCTTCTGGGACACCTGGAGGTGTTCACCCAACTTCACTGAGGAATTGGTGATCTACAGACATCAGACATCACTCTGGGTGTAGTTAGTGGAGTTTTTAGATCAGTTCAGTTTCATTTGCATGCCCGATACGCCAAACACAAACACACCTTCGTTGTGACTGCATGGAACCGGAAAGGCAGCTTGTATATGTTCATGATCAGGCTACTACGTGGTGTTCAGGGGACAAATGGTAGTTGCTGCACATTTCCCCCCCCCCGGCACATGAGTCTATTAACAGAGTTTTTTCTTGGGCTCCCTGTGTCATCCGGGTTAACTTTGTCCGAGTCAAACCACCACTACGTTTCTCAGCTGTCTTGTTACTGGTTCATCCCACTCAAACCACCAGTACGTTTCCCCAACTAATGGCAACGACATTGTTCGAACGTGGCAGGTTGACTCGCCAGCGCAAAATCGAGGACCAGGCCTACTGAAGGAAAAGGCGGGTGGCACCTGGCGATTCTGTGCCCGTGCCGGTTCATAGACCTACCCTAGATATTACCCTGCACGCCCAAACGAGGATCAGGCCTACTGACGCAAATCGAGGACCAGGCCTACTGACGGAAAAGGCGGGTGGCACCTGGCGATTCTGTGCGCGTGCCGGTTCATAGACCTACCCTAGATACCCTGCACGCCCAAAGGTCAGTTTCAGCGGACCCAAGTACTGGAATCTCACTACGTTGTGCCCTCGGAGCCCTGGACACGTGTCGTTGGGAGAGAGCTTTACGTAATGTCGCTAAGAAGCAGAGGTCTGGGCGAGTAGGGCCGGTAAGGACGAAACGTTCTACGTATATTAAGTTATGGGACAGTGATCTATCCAGTCCTGAGATCGGAATTAGTCGCGAAACCGTCTGGCTTTACCTGAACGCCACCAGATGCTCAGTCAGAGTGAGTCAGTCAGTCAGATACGGACGACGACCCAACACGGACTCAACTCGAGGTCAGAAGTGAGTGAGAGCGTTTTTTTGTTATTGTATAATATCGGAATGAGGGCAGGGCACACTGTCAGTCGGAGCGGGCCTGTATGCTCTTGCAATGGTGGATTGCAACAAAACTCGGGTTTTGAATTCATAGGGAATTTAAAGCCTCTTTGACAAGGCTCGACGTGCGCATGCAGCTGAAACACATGATGAGGATTGGCTATGGTGGTTCTTTCTGTCTGAGTGTGTGGAAACTGTAACGATTCAGAATCTTTGCATAAGCATGGACACATAGTGCTTGGCCTCAGGTGCACTCGTAGGTAGCGATGGATGGGTGGGGCAGAGTGCAAGCTTGTTCTGTTAACCCGAGATGCCAGCGTGACGGGGAATGGTTTCCAGTTCAGCTACAGGTGTGTGTGTGTGTGTGTGTGTACCACTGTCGGACGCGAGCACTGCATAATATATAACAATAAGAGGGCAAGGCCAGAACTAACTGCCCTCTCGCTCAGGTCGGACGGAGGTGGATGCTCTGATGTTGAGGAAAGCCCCTCGACAAGTCCTGGTGCACAACCACTGGCAGGCGAAACGCGTCAGGGAATGTCTGTGCAGGTGCTGTGATGTACTCTTCTGAAGCATGATAGGCGCAGAGTGAGATTGGCTTCACTCTTTCAGTCCAAGTCTTCGCATTCTTCTACATTGTCTCCTCCTCCTCCTCCTCCTCCTCGTTCTTCTTCTTCCAGGACATACGTGAGGTGGTTCTTGGGAATGTGGCTTGCCCCCTGAGCCTGAGGAGCACTGCAGGACATACAATCCAGACAATCCAGACAACCTGCCCCCTGAGCTCCAATCTAGTACTATGTGTGGTGGTCTGTATGCTAGCATACACACACCAAATAACCATCATTATACTCCATATACTGAGGCCATGGGGTAGCCCTGGAGTGGGT